CCTTTGTCAGCTCCTTCCCCAATCTGCTCAGCCCATTCAGCCGGGCTGTAGTTAACTCCTCCTCCAGGAAGGCTTCCTGGATCCTAGATCTCTCATGGGCTCCCTAAACCCCCTCCTCACAAACCGATCACCATATCTGCTACACATTTTAAGACTTTCCTTTCACACATCTACCTCTCCCACTGGACAGGAGTGTGAGGCTCCTTGAGGACCACAGCTGTTTCTGAGGACTCTTTCCATCTTCCCCATCCGGCACAGGCCTGGCACATAAAAGGTACGCAATAAGCATGCACATGCGAGCACGCCATTCTACCAGGAAGGGTGGGAATGGAGCAAATTTCTCAAGCAGGAGCTGGTTTTCTCACAGCGATAGCTGATTTCAGTGTATAAGCTGGATGTGTCTCAACGTACATGTGTAAGTTGTTTCAGGACTCAGGACTCCATCTCTCACCATACATGGTGGTTAAATACTAGGGCCTGACCTCAGAAATGTGTTTAATGTGACTGAATTGTAATTTTAACACTCAAGTACAGGACTGCTCACTGTTTATGTGGAACGATAATTTCTACAAAAGATTGTGATCAAAGTTCCAGTAGCAGGAACATATCTCATTCCCTGCCTCCTGTCCCTCCGTTTTAAGACAATAAAATCCTGGACCCGCCCTCCCGCCCATGAGCAGAGATCGCAGTTTCCCACTTTCCGGCAGGCTGCCTCCCTCCACCAACACTTTCCAGTCTGTCTGGTCATTTCAGACCTGCGTTCTATTTTTCTCCAAGGACAGCTTGCCAGTCTTAGGGAACAAACTCTGTCATGGTGTCAGTGGGGGCTGGGGAAAGACTGGCTGCCCTCTTCTTCCAAGTTAGCCATGCAGAGTCCTCTCAGAGCTCCCCAACCTGGCTGACTCCAGAGAGTGAGGATGGGAGGCAGAGGAAGGTTCCAGTCCAGATCTGGCAGGCAAGAGTGCCCAAAGATATTTTGAGTCAGGCACAGGGTCCCTGAAATTACAATGTTGAGTTCTCATTTCTTCCACAATGACACAGAGTGGTCCTACTGCAGGGAAACGGGCAGAGGTTATATCTGACCAAGAAATCTAGTCCTTTAAGGTCCTGGTGAAGGTCAGGTAACAGTTCTGTCTCCAGGACATTTGAATATTAGGCAAAAGGACGCGATATTACCTGCATCCACAAACGTGGACATTCTGACCACAGTCACTGCCATGTATTAGAAATCTATATCATCCTCTTTCCATTCGTGGCATGGCAGCAGCTCCCAGGGCCCTCTCAGGCAGTGACAAAGCGCCATGTGCACCCCAAGTGAGACAGACAGGGATGGGCCCTGAAACTCTTGAGAGCCTGTTATATCTGCAGCTCACCAAACAGGAACCATCTAGTTCGGAAAAGCCTCTGCAAAAGAGTGTAGCCAAAGGGAGTTACAAGGGACAGAGGAGACAGACACATGGAAGCATACACCCAGATCTCCTGAGCCAGGCAGCCCAGTGCTCCAGTCTCATCCTTGTCACTTACTTTGAGGCTTTGGCCATGAAAAAGTCCTTCGCCTCCATTTTCTCAGCTCTGAAAGGGGAGCAGAGAAATCTAACTTGCTCTTCAGTTAGAATGATCCTCCTCTCAACCACAGAACACAGATGACTACATGAGCGACTGTTCCCTCAATCCTCCCAAGGATGGAACCTAACTGCCCTTCTCATTCTAGAAGCATCAGAGAAGTTAATTAAATACGACGTGTACCTTAGGGTATTAGGGTTTAATTCTGTCAAGAGAGACTGATACAGAATGAGTTGAGCAGCATGGGTAAATACTACCCTCCAGGTTCCCGGAGGGTTCCTGGGGGGAAGGGATTAAATAGAAAGGTAGGAGCTGGGAATCAGGAGGGCTTAGGTGGGAGTCCCAGTCCAAGAGAAGGGGGAGAGCATGGCAGAGCCAACACAGAAACAAAAGCTAACCTGACACGCTCTGTCTCCTTCACTTGTTTCATTTGAGATGCAAGGATGAAGGAAATCATATGAGCACTTTGTGCCTAATGCATTTCTGTCTGCAAATGGAAAATACAATTAAACATTACAGTTACTGATCTTCAAACGCACATGTATTATATGATTTGCCTCTAGTAAGCAATGTACATTTGGTGTTCTTTCCTGATGTTTTGGAAATAACAAAATTACTTTTCTAAAACCTCTGAATTTATACTTCCATGATTTTATGATCCCATTTATGCCATTACATATTTCAAAAGCAAACATTTTAAGTGTTTAGCTTTCAGACCAAAAAAAAACACCCAGAAAACCCTGACAATTTCTATTTTAAATGAATCCCTCCAGAGCCTCTTAGCTCAGGAAAGGAAGAGGAAAGAAGGCTCATTGTTTTCAGCAGCAAGCAGACAGATCAACCCACCAAGCTGTACAGCCAGGCATGAAGAGCCCTGGACCAAAGATCAACAGATCTGGGATCTAAGCCCAGTTTTCCGATCCTTTGGAGACTGCTGCTTTCCCTTGGAGACATCATTTTACTTTGCTGGGTCAGTTTCCTCATCTGTAGAGCGTAAGACCCCTTCCAGCTATCTAAGTAAAAATCTTTACCTACACTCTGCCTCAGTAGCTGCAAAAGGGGAAATATTTGCCTCCAACTTTCAGGAAGGTAAAGACCAACAAGGAAATATTTGAACAAGCTTTTGGGATTACATAATGAAATAGAAATAAACGAGACTCATAAAATCACAGGGCTATCAGGGGGGTCCTAGAGGTCTGGCCAACAAGCCAAAGTGAATCTCAAACTCCCAATGCACAGGAGACTGCTGGCGATCATCTCTCTTCCAGACTTCCTGTAGCTAAGGGGACCAATGTATTCTCTTCAGGAAGCCAACTGAAAGCAAGCTTGAATTTGACAGTCAGCCCAGACAGTGTCCCCAATCTTTCCAAAGGACATCAGGCATTGGGTTTTCCCCCGTGCACTGTTCTATAGGTATAGATAATATGCCCTCAATTGTCGTAAACTGCAGACTAAATAAAACGTGCAATTCATGACCTTATTTCCAAAGCCAAATCCCAGCCTATGTCTGAGTTCAGAAGTTCCTATAGCATAGAAGCTCCGCACCTGGCAAGAAGGGCTCTGCCACTAGAGAGCCTTGAGAAACTGGGCCTGTTACTTCTCAGCCTCTCTTGTCTCATCTGTAAAATGGGGAGAGTAACAGTATCTACATTTCAGGGATGTGAGGAGGATTAATGAGGTATTAGTGCATATAAATCCCTCAGAAGAGGGCCTGGCCCAGACTGTTTGATAAGTATATTCATATTGATATCAATATTAACATAATCCAGTAACTATGTATATGATACCGAAGCAGATGGGAAGGTCCTGAAATCCAGGGTACTCCTGGGGAAAGGCAGAGGCTCCCTCCCTCCACCTCCGGACCCTTTTCAGGCAGTCTGAAATTAAGATGTCTGCAACGTAATGGAGGACTGATTTGTAAAAGAGGAAAGGGAACCTAGGGATGGTGGTGGCGTAGAAAATTCACAACCAAAGGAACTGAAACAAGGCGAGCTGTGAAGGCAGTAGCAGGGAAAACACTTGTCGAGAAGTAGGTAAAAGGCAAGAAAGCACCATGTGGGAGAAATTGGGGAGAGAAGCAACACATGTGCACATGCACAGCACAAATAAAAAAACAGATAATCATCCTGGTTGGAAGATGGCAAATTTGGGGGCCAAAGGAGGTCATTGAAAATTACAATATCGTATAAGAAATAGTCACATAAAACTCTATAAAGGATGTGGGGGCAGAGAACGAGGGTAGCACAGGGGGGAGCGCATAATTAACAGGCACCAGGAGAACAATGGGATGAGGAGGTTTGCAAGTTGGGGGACATGAAGAAAAGGTGCATTTGTTATGAATGGTGCAAAAATAAAATGGAGTGAGATTTCTGTGCCTGTCAGCAAAGGAAAGCAAAGAACTGGGAGATTTGAAGGGGGGTTGTGGGAATGAAAACACCAGGCAACACAGAAAATGAGATGAGGCGCAGAGAAAACCTGGGGGGTGGGGGTTGATTTTTGGATAGTCTTGGTAATAAGTGTTCACTAAATTCAAATTATTGTTCTATTATTAACATTATCATCCAGTGAGGCGAAGCAACTAACCAGTTTTTTTGTTTGTTGGTTTGGTCTGGTTTGGTTTGGTTTGTTTTTTCGCGTTTGGAGGGAGGGGAAGTTTGTTGAGGCTCTTTAACTTTACACAGTCAGATGGGTGGCCCGCCAGCCAGCACGGGTCACCTGAGTTCCCCCTGACGTGAGCAGCACTGCTGGTTTCTACCTTCCTGGGGCTAGTATGCAAATTCCCGCACCACGTCAACCACAACTGGAACCAAGCCGACTCCAGCAAACCTTCCAATTCAGAGGCGACAGACACCGAGTCCCAGCGGTCTTCCTCGTGAAATGAGACGCAGCTGGGACCTGAGGAGAATCTTGCTTTCAAAACTAAGTTCTCGGACCGCATCCGCTCCCGGGCAACCAGCTACAGCAGACCCGGGCCGGTGCCGGTGGCGCCACCCGAGGGAGCGGAGCTGTGAAAGGAACACCGGCCGCACCAGACTCCCCGAACCTTTGTCCGCCCTCCCTGCGCAACCTCGAAGGCCAGGCCCAACGAGTCGGGAGCTCGGGGTAAAGTTCCAGAGTAATCCCCGAACGGGTCGCGCCGGAGACGACCTCTTCCAGGAGCACCGGCTGCACGCGCTCCCCGGGGTCAACGCCGCTGGCCGAAACTGGGGATTGGGGGGGGTCGCCGAGTAACCACTGCAGGGCACCAACAGGTGGGCAGCTAGGGCTGCCCCGAGAAGCGGCCAGGAGGATGGAGGACGGAGGAGGGCGTCCTCGGGCTATGAGCGCCGTCGCTTGGGGCTAATTCCTCTTCCCCGGCTCGCGGCTAACAGCCCCAGACGCCTGCCCCCACGCCCCGCGCGCGCCCCGCACAGACGCACGCCGGCGTGCAGCCTCACCTCGTGCGGCTCCCACTCGGCGGATCCTCCAAAGCCAGAGGATCCAAGACGTCCCTGCGACACAGGGCCGGTCCAGGTCCCACGGAGCTCGGAGCACGCCGGGCTCTCGCAGAAGCCTCTGCTCCGGTGCGCTGCCTCTGGGCTGGCGGCGGGCGGGGCGGCTGCCCGAGAAAGCGCGGCGCTGAATCCCGCCCGCGCCGCGGCCGCCGGGCTCCCAGACCACGCCCCCTCCCCGCCTCGGGTCACACCCCCAGCCCATTTTAGAGCTACGCCCAAGCCACGCCCCCAACCCGGCTCTCCCACTACTCCCCTGGTCGGGAGCTCGTTTCCTCTCCAGGCCACGCCCCCGACCCGTTTCGGCCACGCCTCCAGCCCGGTTCTCTGTCCACTTAGGCCATGCTCCCGACCACACTCACCCTCTGCACCCGGGCTTTGCCACCGGGCTTTGCCACGCCCCCTGCCCGGAGACCCGGCCAAGCCCGTCCCTATCAACATCCCGGCTTCCCCCACCATCTTCCCAGCCTTTCCCAGCCCCTCAAGGCATCCCTCATCTCCCATCAGGATATCCCCCCCTTGCCACGCCCCTGGCCCTGCTACACTTCCCCCCCAACTCCCGCTCCTCTTGCCCTCAGCTACACCCCGAGCCCGGCTCTCTTCCAACCACCCCCAGAGACTACCCCATACCATCACCCCCGGCCGGGCCCCACAAGCCAGTCTCTTCCCCTACCCCATCAACTCCCAGCCTCACAAGCCCAGGGTGGGAGGAGCCACCTAGTCGCCCAAGCAACCCCTCTTACCCCAGTCCACTTGCCCCACTTCTGCCTCGGTTTGAAGTTCTCTTTACGCGAAGGAGCAGAGGCTGTGCTCACTTCTGAGCAAAGGAAACACTGGGTGTGGATTTTTAAAACTACCCTTCTCCCCAGGAACTAGAGCAAGTCTTATTGTACTGTTTAGTGAACCCACTCAAAGCACTACCATAACCTTTTCCTTGTGGCCCAAAGGGTAATCAGTAATTTCACATGAAAACCACAGAGGCGAAGCAAGCCCTTCTGTGCGAGGATGTGGACCCCAAACACTCTGTTGATTGTTTACATGCAACTAATGAAACTTGTAAACATATTCTTTTAATAAGTGCCAGTTTTTAGGTGATTCATTTAAACGGTTATTATCCACCAACACTATTTAAACGTGGATTATTTTTATAATCAAAGAACCATAACAACTATTTTTAAACTAAAGAACATAAAACGATTAAATTACCCAATGAAAGTCAAAATTAACTTTATATATGCTTTTTTAAATAGTGAAAAAACTATTCTGTATAATATCAAATGGTGGTTACAAGTGGTTATGCATTTGTCAAAATCCACAGGAAGAGTGAACTGGAATGTAAACCTGTTCATCATAATGTATCAATATTGACTCATCAGTTCTAACAAATGTACCACACTTACATAAGATGTCAATGATCGGAGAAACTGCGGGGAGGGAGGGTTAGTATATGGGAGCTCTCCTTTACAGAAAAAAACTTTTCTGTAAACCTAAAACTGCTCTAAAAAAAGTCTATTAAAGCAAACACACCAAACTATTAATGGTAATTAACTCTGAGTGGGGGAAATTTGAATAAATTTTTTTTGTTATGTGAATTTTTATTGAAATCCCCACATTTTTGGCAAGGAGCATATATATTTTTAAAGCAGAAAAAATATTATGCAAGCAAACTATGGAAAATTTTGGAGGCATAGCATGAGAGGTTAATATCAAATATTCCATTTTATTTTTATTTTATATAACTTTTAAAACATCTGCCTGAAGCTCTTATAAATGTTAAAAATTATATCTATTCTACTATTGTTAAAAAAAATCTCAAGGGCTACACTGAGTTTTTTAATGATCTCTAGAATTAACACCCATCTGGGGAGAAAATTTTGATTTTTCTTTTTAAAAAATCTGGGTCTCAAAGGATCATTTCTGCCTTCTTGGAAATCATTATTAATATTTACATGCAACACTTTTTCTAGTGAAGAAAAACACTATACTCAAAACCAAGTTCGGGGGTGGGGGGGGAGAATTAAAGAGTCCTGGCCCTCAAATACTTGGAGCTCTGTAAAGTTAGAAGCATCTGCTTCCATGACACCTATGACCCTAGCCAAGCCTTTTTGCCTGAGTGTCAGTGTCCTCAGGGAAAAGGGAAACCCCTCTCTCTCTGCATTGGTCGGAGAATACCAAACTTGAGCCCATATAAGAATCCTGGCATCTTAGCCCACACAGGGGCTTAATAATTACTAGTTCCTGCCCTTTAAAAAAAAAAAAAAAAAATTATTGTTTTAGGGAAAATCTTGAGCTCCTGAGACAAAAGAACTAAGTTGTTGGAACAAGGCAGGATGTTTCAAGAAAAAAACTCACTGATATGACCTGAAGGGATTGGATGCTTAGCACTCAGCACCATCACTAGCCAAAGCATGAAGGGGATAAATCACCAAACTTCTTCGCATCTCATTTTTCTAATCAATTAAATGAGAGATCTGGACCAGCGGTCTCTAAGTTTCCTTTACTTTCCATCAATGCAAAGGGAATTTCAGTGTGACTTCTGAGTAAAAAGGCCTAAGTCTCCTGTAGTGACCTCTCTCTTTGCCCACAGGACCAGCCATCAGTCACTGCCCTGCAAACAAAGTTGACATCTGCTTTCTACCCTCCCTACAAAAGAGAACCTCCCAAGGCTTCTTTGAACTTTTTTGCTCCTCTCCAAGATCTGCTACTACCGGACACTGACTAGGAGCCGAAATTCTAACAGTAGCCAACCTACAGATTTTCACCAAAGATTCATTGTAACATCACTCACTGGTGCTTTCTGCAAGAGAGTGTCCAGGGATAGAAGCTACCATTTCTCACCCAAGTGTGTGGTGCACTTTTCTTTTTTCTCATAATTATGTCTCCAAAATTTTAATGTTTCTGTTATTATTTATTGAGCACTTTAATATACTGTATCATTGACATTCCTTATCTCCTTAATGCCTCAAAGCAGCCCCCGAAGTACTATTATGTTCTTGTTTTAAAGATGGGGGAAACAAAGATCAGAGAAGGTGAATTAATTGTCTAAGGTTACCCAGCTGGTAAGTAACGGGGCGAGGATTTAATTCCATGCTCCTGCTTTTGAACACTATGAAGAAGGCTGTACTGGGACTTCCCTCAGAGTTCTGAGGACTCATTATGGTGTTCCTCTGCTTAAAGTCCCCACTCCTTAGGGGTTTTTCAGGAGCAGGGACAAGGGAGGAATGTGCTCTGGATGGAACGTTTGTCTCCAACCTCAGCATCATATGTTGAAGTCCCACCCCACAGTGAGATGGTTTTAGGAGGGAGGACCTTGGAAGGTAAGCAGGTTTAGATGAAGTCATGAAGGTGGGACACCATGATGGGATCAGTGCCCTAATAAGAAGAGAACTCTGGTTCTCTCCCTCTCCATCTTCCTCTCCCTTGGGAGGACATGGCAAGAATTTGGCCAGCTGCAAGCCAGAAAGTGTGTCCTCCCCAGACACCAAATCTGGTGACTTGGTCTTGGACCTCCCAGCCTCCAAAAATGTAAAAAATAAATTCCTGTTGTTCAAGCCACCCAGGGTGGTCTTTTGTCACGGCAGCTGAGCTAATACAGAAAGCAAACTCCTTTCTCCTTGTTTTAGATTGTTTTTCTTCGAGGAGCTTCCAAAATGTAATCCTTCTGGCCTCGGGCCTCGCCCTCTTCTGCTTAAAAAGTTACCTGACTGGTGGGAGAAATCCATTGCTCCACCTAACCTAATAATAATTTATTAAAGCTTTACACTCTTTTCGACCTCTCAACCCAGACTACTCCAGGGAGCAATCTGAGGCCAGTGTCTCTTCCTCAGAGCCAGACTGTCACCTGGATGGGGTACCTGATGGTACACACCTAGCTGGGGGAGCGGGAGGGCCATGCAGAGAATATTAGCAAGAACTTGTCACAAAGACCCAAAGTCACAGTCTCTCATTGACTTTATCTCAGGGACATTCTCACTGACATTTTTATCTTCATCTGTCAGTCTCCAGTGTCCTGTTTCTTAATTGGTTGTGAAAGTGGGAAGGGAAGAAAAGGCAGCTTGGCTGGCCCACAGTCGTCCCTGAGGGGGAAGGTAAAACCTGAATGGGCATCAGCCAGCCTTGTGGCTCCGGGAAAATTGTTTAACCCCTCTGTGACTTTCTCCTTCTCTGTGACATACTGTGGTGAAATTAAGTGATAATGTATGTAAAATCCTGACTCACTCTCTGGCATGTGGTAAATGCTCCATAAACTGTAGCTATCATTATTGATCAGAATGGTTAAGAACGATTTGCAGTCTTTTATTCCACAGTTTATCAGAGCAGACATCTCTCTAAACCCAAGCTTCCTAGGATGGAAGAGTAATGTCTGGTATTCGTCAAATTATTTGGGCACATAATTATCTATTTGAGGGAGGGTAAGTAGTGTCCAATTAATCTGGGCATAGAGAGAAAAGGGTTTTCCTTGTTCTTTTTCTTTTTTTTAAGATTTTATTTTATTTCTTTGACAGAGAGAGGATGGCGAGAGAGGAAATACAAGCAGGGGGAGTGGGAGAAGGAGAAACAGGTTTCTTGCTGAGCAGGGAGCCCAATGCAGGCCTCAATCCCAGGACCCTGGGATCATGACCTGAGCTGAAGGCAGACAGACGCTTAACCAACAGAGCCACCCCGGTGCCCATTTTCCTTGTTCTTTGTCCAGAAGCCAGCTCCAGTAACCTTCTACTGTGCCTTCCCTGTGGGCTCAGCCGGAAGGATGCTGGAGGGACTCTGATGGCTCTGGAAGGAATAAGATGGGCAAGGCAGCCATAAGGAAGCAAAGAGAATGAGCAGTAAAACCATGTCCCCAGCTTTCTTACCGGACAACCAGAATCTGCACAAAGCCACGAGTGTGGGGGAAGTAGCTGTCTGCAGATCCCAATTCCCAGCTGGTTCTGAAAGCTCTTCAAGGACTCTGCCCCGCTCTGAGCGGTGACTCTAGGTTTCAAGGGTGTACATTAGCTAGACTGGGGAGGAGACTTTTTGAGACCAGTTCTCCACAAACATAGTCTTTCTCTTTGCCTCAACCAAGCAACTCCGAAATCCTGTCTTCTTTATTAAATTGCCATGAATGATACCTTCATCTATCA